CTGCAGGCCCCAAGCTTAGCGTGGCCAACAGCCACCTAGCTACCGGCATTTTTCCGCACCTCCTCTCTCCCTCCCCCCTCTCCCTAATTGCCGCTTAATTAGCCGCTTGTTACTACCCCAACCTCCTCCCCTATCCCCTGGACTAATTTTTCTTGTAACTTTGAACATAATTTTAACCTTTTACACTTTATCACCCCTCCAATACAAATGTAATGGCCTGATGAGAATTTATTGAAAGTATACGTATGCTCGCCAATTCCTCTTCGGACTTCCGTAAGAAGAGTAAACAGAACTACATTATGAGATTGACATAGCGTAAACTTAGCGTCATTTTCGAATTCGAAGAAATATGCTCAGAAGTACATCAGTTTTTGTTAGCATCTCTTCACTCAAATGCTTCCTTGAGTAAATGTGAACTTGAGTTAATGAATAACTTAGGAATCCACTAGGTGTTGCTCACAATGTAGGCGCTCAGGCAGATCTTTTCTGTGTCCGCGGAATACAAATAACTATTTGAATAACTAATATAACGAAAGTTGACAGCAGCTGAAGTTTTTGCACTTACGCTTCGTCAGTCAGTCCAGTGTGTGCAAAAGAACGCAGATAGACCCCATTGTTGGGCTGGTAAGAGGCTAGATTTTCAGTTAACACCTAATAGCACACTATTTTCCCCATGGGGCATACTCGAAAACGTTTGTCCTTTTCACAGTTGTCTTTGTAAAAATCCTTTTTTAAATACAAAAGCTAGTTCGAATTTATTTTTAATAGTTCCTAGTTCAGCTACCGTAGCAGACACTGGCTTATGTTTATTATCATTAGTATTATTATTAACCAGCGCTTGCATAATTGAATGCGCAATAGTGCTAAAAACATCTGTCAGAATAAGATGAATCTCATTTTATGGTTCTCTAAGTTTTAACTGCACTTTTCCTCAAGCAAGTATTCCTTTTAATCTACTTTATGACTAGCTATGCCTCAGCAAATCGTCTACATTTTGTGTTTTACAGTGATCCTTCTGTATCTGGAGCTCCTGTTCTTTGCAATAAATAGCAAACGTCTCGGGCCAAAGGTAACAATGATCGGACACATGACCACTGAGGCACTCAAATTCTCTCCCTTCTTCATAATTTTCGTTATTGCATTCGGCGTCGCACAATACTCCACTCTTTTTCCCTACAAGAATGGCTTCAGCCTTGAAGTCCTAGAGGAAACTCTATCTGTACCGTTTTATCAAATATTTGGAGAGAATTCACTTGAGGTGGTTACTGGTGAGTACTGTCGGAGTTATCCCCACTAATGTTCATGCGACTAAAAGGACATTTATTATTACGTTTTACAATACGTTTTTCATCAACGACCATTATCAAACGTAGATAGTGTTGTTCTTTTCGTACGCAACCATCTTCATGTTTTTCAGTCAACAATGATGTTCTCATGTGTTATTCATCGTAATATTGCTTATCTATTTTTCTGAATTTAGAAAGAAACGAAACCTGTCCAGAGAGACTCGTTGGTAAAAAGTGTCCCAGGACAAACCCGTTTACGACACTCTTGGTGGCAGTTTATGTCATGTTCATGGCTGTACTAATTATGAATCTGCTCATTGCCGATTTCAGGTGCGACAATTATCTTCTAGCATTTGCCAAATTTAGTCGGCTTCAAACTGCAAAGTGTTTGACCCATGAAAAAAAGCCGATCAATGACAAAAAGTTATAAGCTGTCCAGTGGCATTCTTTAGACAGAAACGCGAACGTCAAAACAAAGAATAAGGGTAATTTTGTCGATCGGTAGGGGAAGGTCTTTACAAATAAATATGCTCCTAATGCCTATATTCATATTTGATCTCTTTATTACTAGAAAACAAGCTCCCTTTTTATGAAACTTATTGAACTATTAGTATATATTCGCAAGTCTAAGACAAACGACGACATTCATGTCTGTAGTATGTCGATAGCTCCGCGATTCTGCCTCCTTATAAAAATCTGACGCGCTTGAAGCTATCATGGTATGCTAAATGCCGTAGCTTGGAAGGTTGCCAACTAATGGGAATCTCGGTCCGCGCAGTCAGTTCAGTGCGTATTGTGTTGTGTGGAGCGGTTTACTGTTGAACTAAGAGGAAGGCCACAATGGCTGCAACCTAATCCATCACTAACTATATTGATGGTTGGGTAGACTGCTTCTTATCTACTGTAATCTATCTATCTGCAATGGATCCTTCTTAATGTGGCCTTTATGACACTTCCACTCGGCTGGTATCCGGGCGGCCCCTCTACCTTGTTGTGGTTTCCTGGTTGTTTTAACCCATAGTGCGTGGACCTGCGCCCCCTCTCCTGGTCGGTATTCTTGACTTGATACCGAGCCCAAATAAGTGAGTAAACAGGGTGAGGTATATGCACCACAAGTCTACCTTCACTATAATCCAATGTACGTCAGCACCCCTGCACCACCATGCTGTGCAGTACACGGTGGAAATAATCGAAATCAATAGTCAAACTATCGTCTGTCAAATGTGTCTCAACCACAGACCGAAAAAGCCGCAACCTGAAGTCGAGTTTAGTTCATAATTGCGTCATGCCACCCGTTCAGCAACGGTCTCACACCATCTTTTCTATGACTATGATATCTTGAGGCAACTGGAAATCAGATTAACCGATTAGTTCCTTTTTCAACAAGGAATATGAGCCTTTGCCTTAAAACTCAGGGCTATCTTTCTAGCAGCCGTTCGCATAGCGACGAGTATTATTGACACAGTTAAAAGATAAATGACAGATGTATACTAATTTGTCCCCGTTAGCTAGAAAATGGCTTTCGAACCTCAATCTTTTTCCAGTTATATCTTCGATACTGTCACGGAACACGCTGATGGGATTTGGAAGCGCAAGCGATTTTACGTCACGAAGTCATTTCACCATCAGTTTATTCTACCATGGCCACTTGGCGTTCCCTTTGAGTTCATAAACTACATCCGCAATAAGATTGATCAACGTGAGTTGAGCATTTGTATGTGTAAAATATCTGTATTTTTATGCAAGATTGCTTAAAGCATAATCATAACTTCGTTGCAGTAAATTAGTCCTGTGCTGCTTATGTTTTTTTACAAATTAACAGATAAAGGAATGAAGGCATCAGGAGGGGGAAAAAAACGAAAACTCCACAGTCGTATACATATGTATGGTTGGCTCCCGCTCACAGAGAAGCCAAAGAAGTATCAAAAGGAACTGCCTGAAAAAGTGGTGCATCTCCTAGAAATGCGGTACATGCTGGAAGACCACTGCCGGGAGGCAATACTATTAAAGAGGAAAGCGGAGGAGCAGACGACACTTTCAGCCCTACTCACCCAAATGAACTCCGAGTAAGTGCTCGCATTTGGACCAGTACCACACCAAGCACGCTTTGCTATTATAATCTTCGATGGGCTAAACGTTATTGACATTCAAAAGTGTGCTCAGGGGATCGTGAAATCAGTAGGAACTTAAAAAACAGTTATCCCAGAAGGATTTGTGCTCAGACCTACACCCAGGTAAACAGTCATTGGCAGCACAGATAAAACGATTTGAAATAGTCAGGTCTGGTGTGGAAGCAGTCTTCGGCCAACCATTACCCGGTCCGAGATTGACGGAAGACGGAAATTAAATTATACGTGAACATTCTAGCCCTTCATATCTTTGTCAATAAAACATTGTAAGTTCTATTACTATTTGCCTTGCGAAGGCGTATGTTTCCATAACCGAAGACTCAAGACGAAAGACGCACATTTTCATTGCCTCGTTAAAAATTCTCAGAGAATACCATCACTGCACGTCTTTGACGATCTACGGTTTTTTCCGCAGATGTTTGATTGCTAGTAATAAGTAGCACGTGTGAAAAATTGGTGGGTTAGGTCAATTTATTGTAGGGTGTATTGGCACTTTATTATTAGGGGGATTGACAGATTTGCTTAATTCAGTTGACCCAATTGTGAAAATTAAGGTGTGAGTAGAATCCACACATATAACGCTCTACCACTGAGCTATGAGTCTCACCGTGCGCTGTGAATTTAATCACACTTGGATCCATTTTATCCGCTCAACTTACTGTTTGTATGGCCCTTTATTTAGCTGAAATCCCTCAGGCAAATGTGGTGCTGCGGATGAAAAACTTCACAATATAAGTTAAGCTCTAGCCGCATGCTCAGTAAAGCCAACATTCGCTTTCGCTAATTTTTGCCTAACCCACAAGAGTTGGCAATAACGTTGTTTTTTTTTCAGACTGAACCACTTGGACAGCTTTAAGGAATCAGAACGATTTGTCCGCCAACAGCCGATCCGATACGTCCCAGAAACCTTTGAAGACCAGTTTCCGGGTAAGATAGATTTTCGAACTTGATCGTTTGTTGAAAGTGCGGCTTTACCCAGGCGCTGTTTAACACTTGTCACTTTCGAATCTAAATTAGAAGTTTCAGATGAGTCAGTCGCAAACATAGAAACTTTACTATTCATGGGAGATCTAAAATAGACGAAGGCAAACTCGATTTCCACCAAATTGTACTGATTTTTTTCACTTTCGCTCCCAACCCCGCAAGTCCAACGTTCTCTGCCATGCTAATTGACGCGAACGCAAGAACTGTGCGAGAATTAACATCAATTCCCGATCCATAATTAGTAGCTTAAAATTCCACTGTGAAGGTTATCTCCGACTTCTTTCCATGCTAGTATTTGCTATCTCTAGTTTGTTGACGGTAGAGTGCTAAACTGAATAGCGCAAGACGACAGGTAATCGAATTTGGACATATTCGCCCCACTGGTTGTCCCATGTCCGGCCAAATGATCTGCACGGAGAATACAGTGGTCAGATGCACAACTGGGGCCGAATAATTATAAAGAACATGGCCCTAATTTTACCGGAAGTGGTCCCACACCATTGAGCGACTTTGCCTAACTAGGAAGTAAAATGTCAGGAACCTGCATACCAACCATGCCTTTGGTTGTCCGCAGTAGTCTGCCTGAAACAGACTCAATGTCCTCGTTAGTAAAAGAACTGAGATTATACAGTGGCCTTGTTTACAAAGTGTTCTCGTCCAAAACACAGACGAGACTGTATACGAAAGTGCGGGTAGGAAACTGAAGCACTTATACTTCAGCTACCTCTGAAGCATATGGAAGATGAAGGTACCATTACGTATCTGAAAAATTTGCGTTTTGTAAAGGAATTTTGTGTTTAGTATCTGCGTCATGCCGAGGCAGATGCAACTACAGTCACGTCTCGGGAATGTGCAACAGGCTTCCGACCACGTAGCTTCTATACGCCTAACTTGCCACGAGTGCTCGCAGACAAGGCGCACGAAGATGACCACCCGCAAGACCTCACGCATACACTTGCAACTCAGTCCTCAAATCTGCGGAGCATTGTATAGAATCGACAGACGTGGGACAATGTCACAAAGACCGGGCAGCCATTTTCAAAGACAACCTATTAGCCGCTTCTGCTTACTTGCAATTCCAACGTAATGCGTCTGACGAAGCAGTGCCTGGATTGCCAATACATGTCCCGTCGCACGCTCTGCACCTGCAAACCTTGCCCTTGAGATCCGACCATTTGCGCACCGATAGACATCGCCAGTGTACACACACACAAGACAGTT